CCTTTGCTGATGAACTGGAGCTTGTCTCTGGTGGACATAAGCTTGCTGTTAATGCTCCTGTTCCTGCTGAACATTACCCTGATGGAACCTTTGACCAGCTCCATTACCAGCTGCATTACCAACTCCATTACCCTGAGCCTGTTGCTCCTGAGCCGGTTGCTCAATGTCAACCACATGCTCTCTTTGATTTTCCATGTCAGCCTGATCAGTCTGTCTTCCACGCCTATCCCTTCTCCTCCTTGGGACCAAAAGATTAATGTTGTCGTTTAAGGGGAAAGGTGGACCACAGCTTCTTGATCTGGACCTGGTGATCGTGAACCTGAAACTCACAACCAGAACTTGAAAGAAATTAGAAAACACAAAAGAAAATGCTTGATCTCAAGAAATGACACAATCTTAATGCTATCACACTTTGGCAACGGCGCCAATTGATAACTAGAGTTTTCAAGGCTCTAAATGAGGGTTATCAATCCCTTTTGTCACTTTTCAGTACAAAGGGTATCAATCCATCATGTGTAGACACTAAGATGCAGGATCAGTTCTTAATTCAAGCCAAATGAGTGAGGTTTTGATGTAATTTCCACTAAACAAGCTTAAAACAAGAATGAAAACTAATGATCAACTTATACAAGCAAGTAAATAAGCTAAATGAGATGAGAATGTATGTATGATGACGAGAAAGGTCTTAGACATGATAGTGGATTAGGGTGCCTTTGGTGCTAAACTAGTGAGCTAATGAATCATGTGATCAAGCAAACCATTCAACGTAAACATCATTAACTAAGCTAATCCTCTTATGAAGGCATTAACTTCAATGTTAAAACAGTTTCTAACCTAATCATCATTAGTGAAACATGAATCAACAAGCATTAAGAACAGTTTAATCTGTCATTTAAGCATATAAACAATCATTCCTATGATGAATAATACTTAAACCTCTAACAATCTTGGTTCAGGCATTTCATGAAACACTTTTGGTGCATGAAATACCCAGAATCTAGACCACATATGATGTGTATGGATCTAGCATAGAGAACAGGTTGTAAAGAATGGAATATGAATGATCTAATCCCTAAACTCACTAATCTAACACCTAAGCACCCTAATCTACATATCTAAGACCTTAATATGGGGATTACTCACTAATCATGATCAACACACTAGATCCTTTGCAAAATGTGTTGTTAATCATGATTAGAAGTGTGTAAATGAAGATGGAGATGATAGATTAAGAAGAAGACAGCCTTAAACACTCAAGAATCTCTGAATCTCTTGATTAAAACGCCTAAAATCAGATGTTTCTCTTCGAAAGGAGTTTTCTTACACAAAAGAGGCAAAGAAAATGAGGGAATAAAGCTTAAGTCCTTGGGATAAAACCCTAAAAACTATATATAGGTCTTAAAACGAACCGGGTCAGCCCGGAACAAACCAGGTCCTGACCCGGCTTTGATGGGTAAAATGTCGAGTGGGCGAGTTGGTCAGGAGCTTCCCAAGTAGCATGCCCAAGTCGCACAGCCAAAGAATCAGTCTTATGAGCCTTAAGTCCTTTAGTCTCAGCCGCGTTCCCATCTAGATGTGTTCTGCGAGTCTTTGTGCGATTCAGTCTTCCTCCTCTTCAACTCGCATGACCAAGACGAAATCTGGGGAGAATATGTGTGCGACTTGGTCCTCCTTTAGTCCCAAGTCGCATGCCCAACTCGCACAGTCCTAGAAGGAAGCTTTAGCGAGATAGAATCTATGTAAGCCTAGCCGCATTACTCTCTCGGTGTAAAACGTGAATCTTCATGCGGTTCAGTTCCCTTTGCTCCTTAACTCGCACGACCATGTAGCACGGGCATTCAGAAATACGTGCGGGATGGTCTTCATCACTCCCAAGTCGCATGCACAAGTCGGTGTAAATTGCGAGTCTTCATGCGGCTCAGTTCACAGTTTGGCCAACTCGCATGCTCAAGTCGCACGTTTGTGGACTTAGTATTTTTTTTGCTCGGGAACCCTTGACCTTACCCAGTGTTACCTTACTCGCACATCTCAACACGCAGCTCAACCCCCAGACATTAATCTCCAGGCATTGCGAGTTAACCAAATCGCAAGACTATCTCGCAGGCTTCAGGTCTCCTCGGACCACTTCACATTCGGGGGAGAGTAACTCTCAGGATACTGGTCCAAATGGCACGACTTCAACTTCAGTGGAAAGAGCACTCAGATATCTTCAACTTTGGTGAAGTAATCTTCGGCGCTTGGAAAGTGGAAGGTTCCCTGGAGGGCTCATCTTTGCAGTGCATTGACACGGTCAGAAAGAGGCTTCTAGACATGCGTCCATTCCGGAAACGTTATCTTCTTGCTAATAGCTCCAAATTGAATGATCTCAAACTTTCTGGAAAGAGGACTCAAATATCTCGAATCTTGATGAAGGTCCTGCAGACTGAATCGGTCTGGAAGTGCATCATCCTTCGCATTCTTCGGAGCTCATCGAATTGGTCCAAAACGGAAGCAAGACAGGCGTGCCTTCCGGTGAGCTTAACTCTATGCTCACGCCTCCAAATCCTACAATTACACCTGCTCTGGAACCATGATCCAATCCTCTCCAACTTTGATGAAGCACCCAACAACTGAATCGGCCGGCAAGACCTTCTGGTGATGCGATTTCGGAGATGCGTCTGTACCCGGAAATTTTGGTCGAGAAACCTTGACAGCGGTACGTGTTTTGGCCGAGAGGCTCACTCGCGGTACATGAAAAACGCTGAGTAAGGCTTCCTTCGGTACGTGAGAATCGTCGAGAACCTCCAAGAATCTATTTTCACCATCTTTCAAGCCCTGATCACCGTTTCCTTTCCTGGTTTCACCTTTTCAACTCCGAATTGCTCCAAATACACCTGATAAACACTTTAAACATGCAAAGACTCATTGGGACTTAATGCAACTCCTAAGTCCTAAAACAACACCTAAGAACCTAATATGCATGAGAAATAACATGATTTGGAATGAAATATACAACCTAAATGATGCAAATTATGAACATATCACAAATCCAACACTCGACTGGTTTTCATTTCAAATTTTACATTCTTTATTTTGGTTAAAATATTTAGAAATACGAAATATTTTTCTTTCTTTTATTTTTTGATCTAATTTTTTCTTTCATATATGTATCTTTTTCTTTTCATCTAGTTACTTTTGAAATTTGATTTATTTATTTTCTTAATTTCGAATCATTCTTATATTTTCGAGTTTGGTTTGAAGTTATATATGCTATTTATTCAATCCAGTTGGAATTCTCTTAATTAAAATACTGTTGATTTTTTTAATTATCTGAAATCTTTTTTTCATCACAAATGATGAGAACTAAGAACAATTTTATAATTATAATATATTCGTTCACAAGAATCACGCAATGATGATACCAAACACTTTTCCTTGCACCTGAAACTACAACGAACCATGCTAAAAAAAAAATTTATAAACTTACCTCCATTAATAACTTGCAGAAGTTGCATTTTTTAGGGATGGAACCCATCTTTTAATGTTTAAGCATTAATTAATCACTATTGGACTAAAGGCTTCTACAGATATTGGGCTTGCTTGGTAAGAATTATTTTAAAACTGTTTATTATTTTAAAACTAATAAGTAATTTTTTTCTAAGAATTAGTTTACCCTATATATAACAAATAATTTTAGATATTTTTGAAAAAAATATGCTAAAAAAAATTATATAAAATGGATCTAAATAAAACAGAAAAAAGAGATTATAATTAATCAATTAATTTTTGATATGAATAAATTATATAAAATTTTATAAATAGATTTAAATAATCTTGTAGAAAGAAAAAAGAGAGAAAAAAAAAATATATATATATATATATATTTTTTTTTTTCTTTTATTTTTGTAAAAGCTTTTCCTATATAGTTTTTGGAAACTATGACCAAAAAATTAAAAGTGTGGCAGTTGAGACTTTTAACTTTATAAAATTATAAAAGCATACTTGGTAAAAAAAGATTTTTAAATGCTGTTAAATGTCTAAAAAATCTTAAAAGTCTAACCCCAAGCAAGTTCACTGTTAATTTTAGTTTCCTGTTTTTCGCATAACTAAAGAAAATTGTTGGTTACAAAATCATAAAACTAAACCCAAGGGAACAAATAAACAAACTATGGGTTAAGACCCATTATCAAAGCCTACGTAAACAGTGTTTTTTTTCGATTTCTTTCTTCATGAGTCCTTTCCCGCTGAGAAAAAAAAAACCTAATTTTTCTCACTTCATCATCGTCTTTCTCTTTGGTCGACGAACGACACGTCGACACCCTACCATCTTCGCCGTTAGGTTTCAAAAAACGAGGCAAGATCGTCACTAAACTTCTCAAAATCACTCTTCTGCAATGTTCCGCGTGCGTTTTTTTCCGTTGTTGAATTTTGTCGTCTTTGATTTAGATTACTCTTTACTGTGCCTGTGAGGTGGATTCCTATGTGAACTTATCAGTTTTGGTCTGCATGACTGTAGTTCATAGTGATGCGTATGCTAGTTTCATATTCCTTTTGCTTCCCTTACCGATTTGTAGCTAAGAACTCTGCGTAATTAGGGATTTACCATGTTTAGATGATTTATCATATCTCGAAACTATGATTTATACTCCTAATTTTGATACTTCTTTTGCACATATGCAAATCTGAAAATTTTCAATAGTTTAAGACATGTGAAGATGGCTTGATTCACTTTATCATAATCTGTTTCTACAATTAATGGTTTTTATTTTATTTGGTTTCTAATTTTCTATAGCTCCAAATTGTAGTATTTTCGATACAATTCGTTGCTTACACTTTTAATATTGTCTATATATTTCTCAGATTGTTCCTACAATGATGGCTCTTAATGATACTGATTGCGAATGTAACCAATGCAGTAGAAGAAACCCTTTCTTCTTATCGACGGTGAACAGCCAGGTCAAAGCCTTGTTTCAGCTCATGAACTTCTTAATGGTTCTAATTACCACATTTGGCTCCCTCTAATGACCTTATCTTTGAGAATCAAGAACAAGCTAGGCTTTGTCGATGGAACAATCCCAAAACCACATACCAACGATCAGACATCTGCAGACTGGTCTTGTTGTAACAGCATGGTGATGTCGTGGATTACGAGTTCTGTGTCTGATGATATCAGAAGAAGCATAATGTACCTCGAGACTGCTCAAGAAATGTGGTCATGGCTCAAAGTAACGTACCACGGGAACGATGGTTTCAGGGTGTATCAGATTAGGTCACAGCTACGAGGCTTGAAGCAGCAGGGGTCTATGGAGATCGGTACTTACTTCACAAAGTTCATTACATTGTGGAATGAGTTGAGATTTTATCGACCGTCTCGGGTGTGTAAAGGTTGTGAAAAATACGAGCAAGAGGATTGCCTTATGGAGTTTTTGGTTGGTGTAGATCAATGGCACAGGCATACAATCAACACGATTTTGGCGATGGAGCCTCTGCCTGATGTCTATTATGCTCTGAATCGCTTGAAGTTAGAGGAATCTCTTAGACCAAAGAGTTTAGGGCATTACAGAAACAGATGAATCCAATGACTCTCTTCAATCCAACACGACCTGGCTATTATCAAGACAAGTGCTTCTCTTTTTCTTGCTGTGTTCTTTATCTTACACCATCAAACCAAAGTATCCACTTTATGTTGTCTCTTGCTGTGTTCTCTGCTCATCATGTAGGTTATGATCTGCCTCTTTTTCTCAATTTTTCTTAGCAACAAGATAATTTTACCATTCTAATCTTCAGATTGGAACTGATTTTTCTTTTTGTTTGTGGCCTATATCTCTCAGAATTTCTTTTGATTTCTGATTGAGTGAGTTTATTAGCGGCAATTTCAATGTTATCAACACTGTAAATTGTTGTTACCACTGAGTTACATTTTTGTATATTTACTTTGTTTTGTTATGTCAGATGTCTTTGCCATCAATCTTGCATTCACTTCTCTGTCTGAGAAATACCAGAAGAAGAGATTGTACAGAAGTCATATAACTTCACTGACCTCTTCATTATTTGTTTCCATCACTTATCTGACTCCAAGCCTAACTACAACTACTTCTGCATATGATTTAAAATTTAATACAAATGAGAATACAAAACAAATCATGATAATATTCCAGTTCCAGATTTGGATTTAAATCCATCTGCATCTATATGTTAAGCTTTCTTACAAGGGAAATAATATTAAACTAGTCAAATTTGTTAGACCTTTTAAAGCGGAAACACACACGCTTCTTCACCAACTCTATGATATATAGTGGGGTGGTTTTGGAGTTGATATTTTTATTCGGACAAAATCTAGACTTAGTTGTGTTCCATAACCATGGTTGTAGACTTCATTAAAAATAATATAGCAACTCAATATTTATAATAGAAGGATAAGATTTAATTATCCTCCCATCCTAGTATTCAAAAGTTATGACATAAAGTTTTCACTTTCATTTCATGTTATTCAATAAAAATTTGGAGTAGGAATGATGGGAAGCCGTTTAGACGGCAGCAGTGGCGGAGACTGGAAAATTATTCACATGGGTCATAATATATATTTATTCAAAAAAAAACTATATAAATTTCATTAAACAAAAATTCACCATTGATATACATCTCAAATATGTACTCTACGTTCACTCATATTTTGAAATTTTTTATTATAATTTCATTTGTGATAGTTTCAAGCAATTTTTTTCAATAAAAAAAAATAAAAAATCGTTTAAAACTCATCATCAAAATTATTATGCGTGGTCGTCTTCACAAATTTTACTAGAAAATACCTTTCGACGCTTGCGGTCGAAGGAGGAATCAAACATAGCCACATCTTAATAGATGTGCTATTCATAATAAAAAAAACTTGTGTGCTATTGCTTATTATTATCTATAAGTGCTTGTGAATTTTAAATTATTTATAATAAATAATGAAACTACTTAACCACATTTTAACAGATTTCCAAAAAGTAAGGGAAAAAAAAATAAAAGAGAAAAGACTAAAATAAAACTTGTGAATTACTTGAAAATTAGTTTTACAGCTTCTTCTTCTTAAAGAAAAAAACATTAATGTGCAGCTCTCTAAATTATATTGAAATTTAGAAAGGATATAAAAATTATCTGAGTAAATATTATTTTAACATGAACTCTTATTTATAGTGGAGTTTCCCCTTCTATATTACATCATTGATCGATGTGAGATAACTAAAATTTTGTCATGAACTTTTATTCTATAACTTTTTGTGATGGTTATTGAGTCAACATATATTTTTTGGACTATATTTCTAAATTTCAGAGAGGTTAATTCTTATTTTAGGCTTGGAAATAGATCAATTAATAAAAAACTAATAACAATTTAATAATTTTTACAGATTTGACCTGGGTCAGTTGACCCACCTCATAGAATGCTAGTTCTGCCACTGGACGGCGGTTATTCACCAAACCAACTAACCTAACCTTAATTGTAAACTAAACCCAAAAAATGGCTAAATAGCATTCCATTACGGTTGCATCCATATAATGGAACATCTTATTAAACAGAATTAAATATACACAAAGACAGACGATTAAGTAGGGAGTATATTTTATCATTTAATATAATTTGGTTTTTCCAAATAATAGTTGTATTCATTTCCTTGTATCTAATGGCATTATATTCCAAACAAATATACCCATTTTCATTGGCAGAGGTCTATTCAACGATGCTATTCATTTTTTCCTTGTAGCAAATAGTACCAATTTGTTCATTTACTTAATCCCCTTTTAGTGATAGTTACTTTTTCAGTAATGTCAATATCCGTAGTTATCAATTCTCCATTAAAATCTAAAAATCTATTTAAAATTCAGGACAATTAACTTTTCTGACAATACATATTTTCTGACGATATATAGTTTGTGATTATTTTTTCAGTGAATTTAAGAAAAGGTTGATGACAAGCTTTTGAGACCCCATTACATGTGGGGGAAGACGCATGTCTCATGTTTTGTTCTAATCAGAATTTTCCTGTAATGTAAAATACATCTTTAGATGTAATTACAAAATAAGATTAATCACTTTACTTTTCAGAACATTGTATTGATCAGTTAAATGATTTTATATTTGTTTCGCTTTGCTTGTCAATTTATATTGTCCACACTCTTTGATATCGCTGTATTCACGTGATGATTCTATCAAGCAAGATTTTTTTTTTTTTATGAATATATCAAGCAAGATTAATCTGAAATTTGATCTAGTTATTGAAAAAAAAAACACAAAACCTTCACTATCTATTGATTGTGATGCTTCATTTGATATTTGCTTCTAACTAACTACTTGTCCTGTCCTCTTCTACCGACAGTCGACAATTTATTTTAGCTCCTATCAAATTTTTAGTGTGTTTGCATTTTCGTTTGATGATTACATGTTTGGTCCACACTCCACAGCACAATCCTCCAGTTGGTCGATTCTCTCGTGGAGACTCCACAACCACTGAAATTTGATAAATTGGGGAAATATTATAATATCATGTTTCGTGCCATTCTTAAATTATTAACTTGGTCCCCATGATGATTCTGCTTAGAGGTCACGAAGTTTGAGTTGTTCTTGGATTATTGTAGAATCTTATGGTTTTCTAATAAGTCACAAATGTTTAATCCGTAATAGTTGTAATATGAGGGCATCTCCAATTCATCTTTATTTTAGAGGTGGAAATAGAGATTATGCTCCAACCCACCTCTATTTTCACCTCTAAAATAGAGATTGCTATTTTTTCTTCCAAATATAGAGGGATTCTATTTTTCCCCTCTATAATAGAGGTGAATTTTTTTATTTATAAATTAGTCTTTTAACTTTTAAATCTTTCTATTTATGTAAAAAGTATATTTTTATGAATACAAATATGATAATTTTGGTTATAGTTTTAAAAAAAAATAAAAACACATCAGTAGGGATGATTAAACTATTATGTTTCTTTTTATGATGTTATGCTTTTTTTAATTTATGAATTTTTACTTCTAGTATTATTATAATATGTTGAAACTTTGATAAAAAAGTAAAATAAGTGGGATTAATTTAAAAAATTTAGTAGTCAAAGGTTAGTATTACTATATTTTATGAAAACTTTTATAAACAGTAAAATAAAAAGATTAATTCAAAAGTTTTATTTATCAAAGGTAATATTATTATAATTAATGTAAATTTTTGTAAAAAAAATAAGTAGGGTCAATTCATAAATTTTATTAATAAAAGGTGTTAAGAACAAATAACAAAAAAATATATTGAGAATATTCTTTTTTAGAGGGAAAAATAGAGGTAACCATTGGAGACAAATGCAATAGAGGCAACTATCGGAGATTGTCTGATAACTAACCTCTCTTTTTCATCTTTTTACATCGATTATTTTGTCATCTATCATAATTGTAAATATTATATGTTTGATTGCATGACAGAAATCATGATTTGGATATGATTGTCGGTATATATGCGCCCTTTTTATTAATTTAATCACGAGAGTGAAATATGTACTTTGTCAACTATATTGCATGATTATTTTTCCACATGATTATCAACTCGATTATTAATTGAGTTTTGGTGGATACGATATATATGTTTGGGATTTAATTGGTATCCTTTGCCGAGTGGCGTAAAGGTAGAAAGAAATTTGGGGAATAAACTAATCTACTTGTAATTCATTTTTCTTCAGAATGATTTTCTGTATTTTTTAAAGCAAAAACATTTTTCTGTGTATTTTTTTATTCTACAGATTTTGGCTGATTGACAAAAGAATCCATAGAATTGCGTATAAAAACGTAATTCTACCATTTTACAAGTTATCAATCAGAGTTTTAATTGGGTAACTTTGCGGAATGACAAAAATATTCTTGTGGAATGAAATAAACTATTTATAATTTGTTTTTTTCTAAAATAACTTTTATTTTATATTTAAAAAAAAATACAGTCTACATTTTTATATGTATTTTTTTCATTATGTAGATTTTTGTTAATTGGTAAAAAAAATATGTAATTATGTTTAAAAACGCAATTCTACCATTCAGCAAGTTACCAATCTGAACTATAATTTCATTCAACTTGGAGCAGCTCGCACATGTTAGCTCAATTCCAGACAAACCAATCCGATTTTATATTAAAAAAAATTTAATAAAATTGATCTAACATCAAAATAAGTCTTAATTTTGTTAAAATAGTTCAACGTTTAAAATATCTAAAAACTCTAGAAACCAAAATAAAATCTGAACGAACATTAAAAATAAACTTGTAACAAATTAAACAACGAACACAAATAAAAATTAAAATAGTACTAAACTTACCCAAAATAAGGTCCCAACCAATTGGGTAAACTTACCATTAGGGTTATTTTCGGTACTATTTTAATTTTTATTTGTGTTCGTTGTTATTATTCGGTCCCAACCAAATTGCAATACGTAGACAATCCATCAATCAGAGTTGGCTCTATGTGAAATTCTATGAATCGACTTTTTTTCTCCTCATTTTTGTGAAACAAAATCAAAATCGGATGGACCACCTTGGATTTTACGAATTTGCCTCGATCTAAAAGAAAAGTAAAAGTTGTCTTATTGACAAAAGATGAGAAGAGAAAGGTTTCACTTACTTTTCTTGGTCTGCCTGAAATGATAATAGGACTTAGATGACCCACTCATTGTCCACTTTTTAAATCCTTTCACAGTTGAAAAAAAAAAAACAACCGACAGAGAGAGAAAGAAAACCTCTCTTTCGTCGAGAAGATTTCAGTCCCTTGCAACAAAAGCTAGTAGTAAACAAAATGTTAAAATTGTAAACACACAAGAATCACCAATTTTTTCATAATCACTTCTCTGTAGCGTCTCTGTTTATTTCAACACCGCCCACAAAAATCTAAGTACATCAAAAGAATCATGATGATAAAGAAGACAAGAAGAAGAAGCCTGAAAAAAAACACCTCCACACAAGAATTAAGCATACAAGAGAGAGAAGAAAAAAAGGGTCTTAAGAAAACATGAGTTTTCTTCAATCAAAGAATTCCCAATTGAACCGGGCCAGGATAGCCTGATTATTCGCGGTACTCGAGCTCAATGGTGTCACAGGATGATGATCGAATGTTTCCCATTTAGTAGAAGAATCCAACACTAATGGTCCTGACACTGAATCTCGCGGCTCCTCTTCAATCTCTTGCTTCTTCTGTTTGTAGTTTATCGGCATGTCCATGAGGGACTGTACCGGTCTCTGTTCTTGCCTCTGTCCATTGCTATGTTCTTGAATCGTTGCAAGTCTCTGACCACTTGATGACTGTTTTTGTTGCCCATTAGCCATTGAGTTTTTCACCTTCAAGACATCCAGTGTTTCTACATAATTCTGCACTCTCTTCACCTACACAAAATACATAGAACCAAAACGTTACAACAACACAAGAACATTGCTAAAAGTTATTCGATCTTTATTAGTAACATACCTGCATCTTTCTTTGTAACTTCACATCTCCTTCCGCTACAATCCCATCTAACTTTATCAACTCATTCATCAACAATTCAATCACTGTTACAAGATCTTTCTCCGCAACTTTCCCTCCTTTCTTGATAACCATTTCAAACGCTGAAACCTACACAAACGCACAAATCTTTCAACACATTTTCAAAAAACCTGCGATTATAAGTAAGTTAGAAGGGCTTGGCGGGCATTACACGTCCACCGAGCCTATCAACTTCGAGGCTAATATCGGAGATCGCTTTAGATGCCTTTTCAGTTTTGGCAATCTTCCTCATCTCCAAGAAACGTTTCTCTTGGCTAATCGGGTCTTCTATAAGCACCATCTTGGATTTATCTTTCACTCCCGAAATATCAAGAAACGCCTTTGAGTCTCTCTCTTTGTCTTTGTACATTAGCTTCTGATCTTGATGGTGAATACCCGTTGGTCCACTCAACATCTTCTTTAGCTCCCCTGCATCAACAAAACCAAATAAAAGATTCAAATTTCACATATACATAATCAAAATCTCTACAATTTCATATAGACTCTTCTAAATTCCAAAAGATTCAGAGGTTTTAGTAAGAATTTTTAGAGAAAATATAATGAGAGACTAACCAAAAGAAGCTTGAGGACTAATAGTGATCTCATGGTAGACCGAACCGTACTTGATTCTGACTCTGATCATCGGTGGAGGTGGAGCTCCGACAGGATCCGAATCCGGGTTTCGTTTCTGAACCAACATTCCTCCTGGTCTCATTTCCCAATCATGACCGCCTGACTCCCTGCCGCCACCGCCGCCGCTGGAACCTCTTCCGCCGTTAATCGCCGCCGTTGGAAGATTTGTCGGTTTGTTCCTCATCATCTTCATCATTTTTTTCTTTCTTTTAATTAGACTTTTCGTCTCTTCCACTCAATTTTGTTTGGACCGAGAAAAAAGAACAACAACGGATCTGAAGATCTCTCTGATTGAGAGATTAGTATCAGAAACACGATAATGGAGACAGAAGAAGAATGTTACACGAAACCTGGGATTTGGACATCATCAACAAGACTCCAAACCCATTTCGCCACGTGTACTACAAAGATCAAAGCAGGGACCTTTCTGATCAACAACAAATCCCAAAAAAACTCTCTCTTCAATAGATGGAGCTTCAATAGATGAAAAGAAAAAAAAACACTAATTTTGAAGAATCTGAATTGACTTCAGATCTCTTCTGTCCGGAAGAAAATCGAAAGTTAGAAGGTATTGAATTTTTGTTTTCCCGAGAAAATCGGTTTGGGAAACGAGTATATTAGGAAAGAGTGGAATCTCAGAAAAGCATCCGGATTCTCTGTTCGAGTTTTCTAGTTTCAGAGAACCCGTTGGGGAAAAAAATGGTAAAATTAATTATTTAAGAGAAAAAGAAAAAAGAATAATAACGAGTGGCCAGCTAATTGAGCTCTCTTCTGCCTGTGACTTCTTATATCATAATATATATATATATGTAATTTTTTTGTCGCAAGATTTATTTTTGTTGGCCTTTAATTGGATGACTTTTCTCTATATTTTTCAGAAGTCACAAAAATTAATATATACTGTTGAGAAATACAATACATAATTATTATTTTCCTGATGGCTTCAGCTTACCCTCTTGTTGTTTATTGAGTCAATAACGTATTCGTATGGCAGTAGGTAAGAGTGGATATACCTTTAGCACAAATATAGATATTGTCTAAGGGATCATTTTTGGTGGCAAGGTATTGGCTTTATAATCTCTGTAAACGTGCCTTGACTTATATTTTAAAAATGATGTGCCGTCATCAAAAGATTCAAATGATGTTTTCCGTGAATTTTTGTTGACGATTATACAATTTAAAGATTGGATAAACAAATTTTTATACATTAATATTATATAGTTCATCTGTTTTTAGGTTTTATATGTAGAAACCGTAAAACAAACGTATGCTGATTAGTCAGATTACAGATATGTTGTCGCTAAATCCAAATATTCGATATAAAAATTTGGTAGATTATATTTAGAAAAAATGGTGTGTGATAAACCATTAAGAGAAAGAACCAAGATCTTTATTTTTATTTTTATTTGTTAAGAGAACCAAGATCTTTATCAAAAAAGAAAGAAAGAGAACGAAGATGGTGTAGCATATGCAAATGTTACTATGAAGACATCACGACAAATAGAAAAACTATAGATTTTTTTTTGTTACCGATTAACGAATAAGGTTTCAAAAAAATAGTCATCTTGTTATTTCCTTTTTTTTTAATGTTGAGTTCGATTGGTGACCTTTTGAATTAAGTGATTAAAAATTTTTGAGCGGTTGTAACAAAAATAGTTAGAAAAAAACGTTGGAGATAATGGTTGCAAAAAATCGTTTGATAATACAAAACGGTTCAATATATTACAATGGCTGAATAGTATAACTATATAAAACTATTAATCTGTTTAGATAATTATTTATAAAATAATACAATAATATATAGTTTAAATATTATATCAGTAAACATAGATTACATTTATTATCTTTAAAAAAATCAGGAATGATAAAATTTTTGATAATTTTGAGATATACAAGTAAAATCTGATTGTTTTGTCGTCTGACTTAATATACAAGCACATTTATTTTAGATTTTTGTTTTTATTTTTATTTCGAGTGAATTGAATGAATGAAATTAAAAAATAATAATAATAACACACACATAGACATAATAATATGTTATCGATCCTTAATAAACAGTATGATGTTATCAAGTTAATGATAATGTTTTAGACGTCCAAAAACCTGTTTTCTCCAAAAACAATTACTGAAATTTGAGAAGAACAGAAATGGAAAGGGCAGCTAAAGAAGCATTAAAGCACCTACTGGCTTCGATACGCTTATACATACACGTATTGTTAATTAATAAAAGTATAAAGAAAACGTATGACAAGTTTGGGATATGTAGTGTACCACGAGGTGCAGGTAAACCATTAGAAGCCTGGTTCGTCCTGTCGTCCACGTGTGGTGGCTAATGGCAATTTGGGAAAATTCAAGTGGATCCAATCATTGACTCGTGAACTACTGTGCATTGGTCTTCACAATCACAACCATGTGGTTCTTATCCTGTCGACACGTGTCCGTGTTCGACGGCGAGCCTTCTGGGTTCACTGATTTTTCTCACCTCTCTCAGTTATTTATCTTACACCAAACAAAATGAACCTTTTTATAAGATAATTAGATGGAGATCAGATTGTTACGAACTTACGACCAGACTAATCTTTCTTAGGTAAATATTGTGGTTAAAATAGTTCACTCACGGATTTTTTTAATGAATCAAAAATATAATATTATTTCGATGAATAAATTGAAGTGATTAAGTATTAACACGTTTGAAACAAATAATCTCTCATCTAAACCGAAAACCAACTTTTCAACGAATGTGAACCAATAACTCATTATAATTGATAGAGTTTGATGGTATATTAATTAGCCATTACAAAAGTCTAGTTCCAGTCCAATATACATTGAAATGAAACTATAGCATCATAAGTAAAATAAGTAACGAAATGTTCTGAGGACCTGAACCTCGTTTTCTTTTATTTTTAATCAATTTCTAATTTTTGAATAATATATATGTACTCATTGTCATACACAATAATCATATTTTAGTTTGGCTATTAGCTATAAAAATTAGTTTTTAAGCATTGTTTAATTATTAACATTGAATTGACTAGCACAAAACTGATTAGGGGATGCTTGGCATAGATTGTGGGGACTGTGGAACCCATTCAGTTTAAAGTTATTTTTTCGCCAAATAGACTTTTTAAATTTTTTTATTTTTAAAATCTTAAAAACCAGATTTTTTTTTTTGTCATGAATTCCAGAAGTTACGTATGAGGAACTTTTACACAAAAATTAATAAAAATAAATATGTTTAGTTTCTTTTCTATTTTTTCTTTCCCCAGAATTATTCAAAAGACTTTGTACATTTATATATAAATAATTATGAACTAAATTAAATTTATTAAATTTTTTTTAGTCTTTTTTTTAGATCCATTTTTCTAAAAAAAATTTCAATTATGTTGTATTTTTTTATTTTTATATTGATTACACATACTATTTATGAACTAATATAAGTATTTTAATAATTTATTAATGTTCTCAACAAGATTTCAATCTGAGATAAATTATATGTTTGACTAATAAAAAATTATTTGTAATTTAAAACATAACAGTTAATTTTTACAGTTTTTACAGTAAAAAGTTTTAAAACTAAAAATTTATAGTAAAAACTAAAAGTAAAAGTAATTACCAAGCAAACTTTTAGAAAGTTTTATTCATTATCGTATTATATGATTAATGTAATTAATTGGGTTTTCCTCACACAGTGAAAGATCTGTTTCATACTTTAATATGGAGATTTGTGTTGTCAAAACTCGCGTCATGGCTTTGGTTCACTTCACTTTCTTTGATCTTGGGGAATTTATATATAAATCTAATCATGAAAATCCAATTTGAAGGAACTATTAATATATATATTTTTGGTAAGAAACTATTAATGTATATATATGTTGACACAAAATTCAAAATAATATCTCTAATATTATTCCCAAGTATTTGCCTCTACCAACATAGTATCTAAACCTCGGGTATGCGTGAGTTAAGTTGACCAAAACCCATAAGTCTGGAGATGCTAACCGACAACCTTTTCCCATTTTTGTTTCCTTTTTTTTTCCAAAATCTCCGCAAATAAGCGAATGCATTCTATAAATTCAGATGCTTGTTTACTAGACCATCTTCCGAAAAAATACCATTTAATTATTTTCCGAGTGAAATTACGACAAGTTGTGGAACTTTTCGATAATAATAATTAAGCTCGACACCAAAATACTCTTTCATGACGTGGCTAACTGTTCTGGACCGTCTATCTACTGGTAACAGAATCCTCCGCTGGCAACAGAATGCTCTCACCTCGTGTATCTTCTGCCAAGATCCACTGGAATCTCGAGATCATCTATTTTTTGCTTGCCGGTTCTCTGCGAAAATATGGTCGAACCTTGCTCAAGGTGTGTTCAACGCCTCCTATACAACAGATTGGAATGATCTTCTTCAGCTCATCTCCCAACCTCAACGGGATCGATTAACAAGCTTTGTCATGCGATACCTGTTTCAAATCACCATCCACACCGTTTGGCGAGAACGAAACAAACGGAGACACGGAGATCAGCCTTTTTCGGCGCAGATGCTCATCAAATTCATTGACAAGACCGTGAGAAATCGATTATCCTCTATCATCCGTAGTGGAGATAATTGTTTCACACAAGACTTAAGTTTTTGGTTTGCTTCAAGACCTCCAAATTAATCTGTTCTGCAAATCCTTATTCTGAACTATCTAAAAATCAGCATCTGAGGCATGTATTGTAAAAATGTATTTTTTTTTAGATGAATAAATTTTACATTCTTTTCAAAAAAAGAAAAAATAATAATTAAGCTCATTCCCAAGTGCAAGTTTGACATCTTGTTTTAAGTTGATGTTCAAGCCGAATCAACTCATAATTCTGATGCTTCCACATGACTTCGTAGTTGTGGTTTAATCCAGTGATATTTTATCAAACCGTTTCTTAGTACAAGCTCATGCTTTTCTCCAAAAAAAAAAAAAAAACAATTATACTTTCATGCTTTGTCTCACGTGCATTTTTTTTTTTTTGGTTTTCCCGGGTCATTATCTAACAAGTAAAAATTATAATGTAATAACATTCACAATTATAAGAGATGAATAGCGTTCGAAGAAAAGACAAACGTGGTTGTATTTTAATTCAGTTAATTAGCTATATACCAGAAGAACAGAAAAAATTTAAAGAACTACCAAGATTTTTTTTAATTTGCAAATAAAGCGTTAGATATAATTTGGATTGATGAAAATGTTCCTGAATCAAAAGAGAAGCGGAAAATACACGAAAAAGGGTGTTATGAGCGGTAAACATAGACATTTTAACCCAAAAAAACTATATATGTGTCAATGTGTATTCATGTGCACTTTATTCAAAATAGCATGATAATTTTAGTTGTGATAGTGGTTAATATAAATAGCATGTTACGATTCAATGCCGATTGTTATAACAAAATATAACGATATATAATTATAAATGACTAGGTAAATATATTATATATAATGCATGGCTTATAGTTGGGACCAAATGCGATATGTCATAGATATATACAATTATACATATATAATTATGGAATGCTATCTATATAAATGTTATATTTTTGAGACGTCTGATTGCTTAATTATTAAGATAGAAAAGATTTGTAGTCATCATATAAAGCGTTAATTATTAGTAATTAAATAGGGTACATAAGAATGGAAATGAAAGTCTTTGTTTTTATATTTAACTTGTTATAAATAACTAGGTGTTTAGCCCGCGACTTGAGCGGGCCAAAAAGTTTCGTTAAAACCTAAAAT